TATGTGAATTATAAGGAAATCATTCACTCATTCAGTCATTCATTCATTCAATGATTTCTTTCAAACACTTCTCTCTCTCTCTCTCTCTCTCTCTTTGATATAAAACTAGATATTATTAATTGTACCCATATTTTGAAATTCAAAATTTAAATACAAATTGATGTTATGTTTATTTAATTTGATATTAACTTTAATTCAGGAATATATGATATTATTGTATGTTTACTATTAGTTTGAAACAATTATTATGTGGAAAGATTTGACACTTATATTCAGTATTTATTTTGATTGGCATTTATTTTTAATATCGGATTTTAATGAGAAAATGTATAAACATTTGGAAATGAATTGAGAATCTCAATTTGAGATATGCTTTTATCGGACATTGAGTTCATATCATTGTTATTATTATAGTTGCCATAAATATATCATTGAAATAAGATTTTATGATCAGATTTAATAACTGGTTTTAAAATGAAAAGTGTTTTTTACATCGACTTTGATTAGTCCTGAATGTGTTGTTATCATCAAAATTAATTAGGAATTCAAAAGTGATTTATTTTTATTGGTTTTTCTATTCATTTAATGCATTTCATAATTAGCGAAACTCTACTGTATTTTTAAATATTTTATTTTTATAAAATGTGATAAAAATCTTGGGAACCATTAAATGCGAGACTTGTGTCTCATATTTAATGCCACTTGAAGTCGGAGTCGAGATAATTGTCATATATTTCGCTCATAAAAAGCTTTGAATTCAAGTTTTGATAACTTTTATATACTTTTTCTCCGAATTAATCTTTTATATTGAGTTTTTCCCAAAATATTAATTCTTTCTCTTTTTTAATCATAAATTTATTTAATTTAAAATTCATTATTTGATTCAAAAGAGTATATAATTAATTGATTAGTATTTTTTGTATTAACACGAGAAGTGAATACAAAAGAAAACGATAAAGTCTTGACCCAAAAATATATGTGTTTTTCACTTTCTATTGTATTTAAATTTTATGCAAACCTTTTTATATTAACATAACTTTCTTATGAATAGCGTATTATTGAAATATTTGTTGTTTTTGTATTTTTTATGCAAATATTAGAAGTCATAGAAATGAGCATTAAATGGGAATATATTTATTTTTAGCAATTAATTATGATTTTTATTCATTGGAAAAGGAAATGAATTTATGATTAATCGAAATTGAATGCAATTTAAGGGCAAAAGCGATCGATAAAGACGACGAAGTTCTGGCAATTAATGGCATTGTTTTGAGAGGTCTTCAGTTGGAAGACGCGTTGAGACACTTGAGATGTAGCGATAGAGTCGTGCAAATTATAATTGCAAAACAAAAACCGGTAATAATTACATATTCAGGTCTATTAGTAGCCTATATATTGTTTAATCGATTTGTTTGCACTTCAATACCGTTTGATTACAGTGTGAAGTATTGAGTCCTCAAATTACAACCAATACATCACACGTTGACAATCATCTCAACTACGAGTCTATTGTAAATAATAATAATAATTGTCATAACAATAATAATATTAATAATAATAACAGTATTATTAACAATAATATGAATAATAATAATAATGATAAAAACGATAATAATGTGGCAAAAGTGCAAAAATCAAAGTTTTACATAAAGTTCTCATCAGATAAGCGACCGTTTGGTGCCTTTCAATGGCTGTTGAATCAACGGCGAAGAGTTTCGGGTCTATCGGGCTCTAAGAGTTTCTCGGAATCTTCGACCAGAACTGCCAAAACCAATGCCTTAACAAATGATTCAAAACAGTCAGAAGTGAATCAAAATGGGAAACAAAGCAATTCATATCCAAATCCAAGCCAAACGCCGAATCAAACTCAACAAAAACTGTCCACTTTATCGCGAATAACTCTGAACCGGAGCTGTCGACCCATTTCTACTCCCAATTCAATCGAAAATAATAAACTCAATTCAAACGTAAGATTTACTTTTTTGATACTTGAAAATATAGTTTTTCTAATAAGTTTGTATTGTATGCTATGATTGCCTCATTTTAACAAACAATTGATTCAATGAATGGAAAAGTAATTTTATTTTGTAAATAAATCAGTGCAACAGCGGCGGCACACTCTCAGGCCTTTGGACACTTCCCCGTAAGCCTAAAGACAGCCCTCAACCGCCTAAAGCAGATCTACGGACTATTGTCTATCAGAAAGGACCCGACAGTAAGGGTTTGGGATTCAGTATTGTTGGGGGCATTGACTCACCGAAGGGTCAAATGGGGATATTTGTCAAAACTATATACCCGAGCGGTCAGGCGGCAGAGTTCGGCAACTTATTTGAAGGTTTGTCTCTTCGTACAAAAGCCTATATCCTATATGTATTGACTCCTTATTTGTACATTTGTTGCGCTAAAAGGCGATCAGATATTCAGTATTAACGGACAGTCAACTGAAGGGTTAACTCATTCGGAAGCGCTAACAATGTTTAAAAGGATTAAAAGAGGAGATGTTGTCCTAAATATTGGCCGCCGAACAGACGTTGTGCTAAACAGGTATGCATTTAATTACAATATACAGTACTCTATTGTATTATTTGATAAAATCTAAGCAAATGTTTGTTTAATTAGTGCTAAAAACTCGAAGTCGTGCTCAAACCTCGATCTCATTTCATGAATTCATATCACAAGTTATTCTATAACTACTATTCAAACATTAATAATATTTTTATCAAATATTTTATTAATATTTTTTATTTCATTGAAATTCACTTTTTATATATTTATATAAATATATATTTTATAAATTTATAATCAAATATTTGCAATAATACTTATATTTTCTGAAAACCAAATAAATGAATAAAAAGTATAATTATTTATAAATAATTAATGGTTTTTCTGTGGTTTGAGTCGATGTTAATGTTTGTGAAATGAAATGATGGATCGTTTTGTGGTATTCAAGTGCGTCAATGGAGTTGTGAGTCATTCTCGTCGTGTACTATAGTCTGGTGTAACATAAGGCCGAGAATGCCGTGTCTGTTGGCCATACAGTAGCGGAACTTCTGCTCCCTCTCCAAGAGGTCGTCGAGTTTGAGCCACTGTTGGATGCGTTCGGCGTCCAACTCAGCCCTACGGAACTTCTCCCACATGTGATGTTTATTGCATTTCTTCTTCAATACACGACAGAAACGACCGGAATGTTCGAACGGACAGCTCTCGGAGGCCAACGGCGAGCCGCACACCTCGTCGTCCGCTATTTTCGGGTCTTTCGAGTGTTCCGGACAGAGAAGGCGTAAACTATTGACCAGAAAAAAGCAATGTTTAATATAAATATTGATCAAAAGTTTTACAAAAGTATGTTAACAAATAAAAGGGCAGTTAATTGAGACCAAAGTAGTAAAAAACAAACAAAAAACAACCGCTTTTTGTTGTTTATTTATAATGAATTGTATAGTAACTAAAGAGTAGGCGTTATATAATAGCCTAATAACAAACCGTTTGCAATAAGTTCGTTGCTGTGGATTATAGACATCGCAAAACACTGTCTGTCCCTCTATTTTAGTCTTAAATATAGAACCAAACGATGTTTGGCTCTCGTATTTGTTATAACATCTCTCCATATGTTTGAGCGCCTGTTTTTGCCGTCAAATCAAGTGATAATACAAATGAAATAATGATAAATAATTAATTAAAAAATTCTTTCATATAATCACAAAAAAAGTTCTCAAAAATACAATGAAATGAAAACAATTACCAGTTTTTGATTGATTTCGTGACCACAGCTCACGCAATATATGCTGAGTTCAGTCTCGCCCTCATTGTCCGCTTCGTTTGATTCCTCTTCAGTCATGGGAGCAGTGTTTTTACCCTTTGTTATTAGAATCTCCAGATCTTTCTGCCGTTGATCCAAATCGTTGAGTATTCTTCGCGCCTCCTGTTGTTCCGTACGTATCGTTTCCAGTGTCTTATGGCTGCGTTCGTCGGCCTCGCAGGGAGTGCTCTGCCATTGTCTGATCCGATGCGGCAGTATTTCGATGATCCGATTGGTGGCCAATTTGACGCCGCATTCGTCGCTACAGTATTTGGAGGCCTTTCGGGCGACGGCCAGACATCCCGGACCGTAACACTGTTTGGGACCCGTTTCCACTTCAATCGTGTGCTCTTTTCTCGTTTTGTGTGTCTTCTTCGTTGTCTCCGCTTTCTTTCGATGTCGCGACCGAACCGTCGAGTTTCGCGACGGCTTTCGACCCCTTTTATCCTTCTTTGTGTTCTTTTCGGGACCGACGGGTCGACCCTTTCTTCTGTTTGTCTTCTCCTTTTTGGTTCTCTTCTCTTCAGCCAATGGTCGGTAACAGTCGTCGTCGTCCTCCTCCTCCTCTTCCGACTCGAAATACCTTTTGACGGCCTTTTGATCCGTCGGGTTATAGTCGGGATCTCTTTCGTAATTCTTAGGGACAGCGTCTGCATCACTGGTTACGGGCGGTCTGACAGAGTGGCCGACAGTGGGCTCTATCGTCTCCTTCTTGCGATTGGTTTGCTTTTTGTTGTCTTTGTATATAATGGCGAGAGAGGGGTCTTTGTCGCGACACATGAGACAATAGAAGTGTTTGATCCGTTTGGCGTACTCTTGAGTGATGGCAATGCAGTTCCCGTGAAACCATTCCTCGCATTTATCGCATCCAATCATAAACCGATTCGTGTCTGAAGTCCGACAAATGCAATACAACTGCCGATCGGTGTCCTCTTCCGAGTCCACGATCTCTCCCTCAGACATGTCTTCGATCTTCACTTTGTCACCAATTGGTTCCGCCATCTCTTCGCTCGTTATCTTCACGTCGTTATCATTCAATTGATTGAAATCTCAAACAAACTGTTTGTTTGTGTCTTTCATTTGATAACATTTTTGTGTGAAATATATTCATAAATATTTTTTGTACTCTTTTTATACAATAACTGAATATAACTATCGCTTCAAATAGTACTCAATATTCGCTACTATTGTAACAAAAAGTAATGTCTTATAAAATATATATTAAATTAATTAAATTTAATTATAAATTGTTAATAAAATCCAAATTAAATTAATCAAAACATAAAAGTGTATTAAAAGTTGCTTTTGTGGCAAAAATGTGTTAAATAAATGACTTTAATATATGAATGATATGTGAAATGAAGCGATGATTGAAAAGTGAGAAATGAAGACTTAATTGATGGATGAGTTGTGAGTGGATGTGATGTGAAGGGAGTGTATGTTTTGGACACATATTTAGCGACAAAACTGTAATCAATAGACAATTCATTGAATCACTAATTGTTTTGTACAATAATTAGTGGCGGAAATAATTATCGTAAAAATTGTACTCATTTTTGGGATCAATTGGTGGTAAATATCGGTAAATATAGCGGACATATGACTCGAGAGGGTGTGTATTGATTGACCGGTTTATTACAGGCGGTGATCGTAATGGCGGCCACTTTGAGACCATACCTACTGGTGGTTCGGCGGACACTCGAGGCCGCCATCTGTTTGGTTGACTTCAACTCACAGGTCGTCGAGAGACACAATAAGCCCGAGATTGAGGTGAAGAGCAGCAAAGAGCTGATCCTCAACTCAGTGGTGATCAGCCGTAATGAGAGGGAACGGGTGCTGATCGAGTCGTCCATCAATTCCGTGCGGATCTCCATTTGCATCAAACAGGCGGACGATATCGAGAGGATTCTGTGCCATAAGTTCACCCGTTTTATGGCTATGAGAGCCGACAGTTTTGTGATTCTTCGCCGAAAGCCGGTCACCAATTATGACACCGCGAAGAAGCCTCTGGTGGTCAACAATAATAGCAATAATAGTAATAATAACAGCAATAATAACGACATGAATAACGGCGTGGAGACCGGTTTCGACATCTCCTTCTTGATCACCAATTTTCACACCGAATCCATGTTTCGCTACAAAATCATTGACTTTATTATCCATTTCATGGAAGAGATCGACAAAGAGATTAATGAGATGAAACTGGCCATCAATGCCAGGGCCAGAATCACCGCCGAAGAGTTCCTTAAGAAATTCTAACCATTTATTTATCCGGACTTTTACTACAGAATCCAAACCATATTTAATTCCTTTACTTATTATAAAGTTTTCTATTATTAATGAATAACGAAATCAAGGATTTGCTTAAAATTTTAATTTATTTTTTTAATTTTGAAAGTTTTTGATTACTTTATTGTATTTGAAAAGTATTTAAAAGCAATTGTGTTTACGCTTTGTACGAGTCTTTTAGTTAGCCATCACTTATTATAAATCAAATGTTAAAACAATTTCTATTTTAATAAAACTATTGATTTGTTGATTATAATTGCATTTAAGTATAAAATGAAATTTTTTGAAAATAAAAGTTTTCAAGTCTTGGATAGACATGAGTATTGATTTTCTAATTCCTAAGAATCAATGACTTTCGATAATAACAATACCATTAAATCGATTGTAAAAACTCACGAAAGAAATTCATATTATTTTATGCATTAAATTTTCAAATCAGACATAAATTATATGTAATTTAAATGTCTATGAGTTGTGTTGTGAGAGAGAAAAGTAGTCGATTCCTGAGCGACAAAAATGCAATTTTGAATTCACTTTAGATAACGAGAAGAGTTGAATACATTTTGGTGGGCATTATTACTGAGTGATTGGTATAGTAGTTGTTTTGTCTACTTTTGTCTGTTTGCCCCTCTCTTTGGTTAACTATATTCTCTCAGCCCTATTGTGAGACCAATTTGAAAGTCATTCAATTTATTGCAAATATTTTATGTCTCGACCAGAAATCACTAAAACATAATTGAGTTTTATATTTGATTTTTCAATGCTTATTGACTGAACATTGTTTATATAAAAGCTTGACATTTGCCTCGTATTCAGCAATTGTTCATTGAATCAATTCGTGAGTAAATTTATTCCTATGTAAACCTTATTTCGGGCGAAACCCTGTCTTTGCCTTAGGATATACTTCATTTGATATCCTATTTAACACATGTATTTACAATCGTTTCAAAAGCACAATAAACTACACGTAAATATTATAATAATAGTATAATTTATTTTTTTCAATCCAATGAACATATGAATACATTTAGTGTTTGAATCGCTTTGTGGTACAGCACAGGCATAACTTATACCGTATAAGAAAAAACAATTCATATAACATTAACAATGTTATAAAATAGCGAACGATTCGTTGAGTTAGTATTGATTTAAATGGGAAACGAAAGCTCAATAAAAACTGGGAATAACTGTATTATAATGTACTGTAAGAACCAAAGTATAGCTTTTGCACTCATAATCAGAATATATTAATACAAAAGTGGAGTTTTAAATGAAATAAATTTGATTTGCATTTAAAATATATATTTAATTCAAAAGAGTTGTTCGCATGAAATGAGATCTTGAATCCAATGAATCAAGACATGACTTGTGAGCAAAAAATGCTAATTTTATAACGAATCCAATAATTAGAAAGAAAAGAAATAATATTAAAATTAAATGATTTAATAATCGATTAAATACCAGTTCTGTTAGTTATGAGAGCCCTTGAAAAAAATACATCGAAATAAGTTTTTGCCTGTATTTTTGTTGGGGCAGTCGGTGCTCTTGGAAGGAGCACTTGGATCAGTGTTCCAGTGCTGGTCCACCAAACACTTGCTTAACTCTGTAGAAGATATACCGGTTTTTACACTCAAAGTATTTCCAAACTATTATATAATAACTCAACAAACGTTACACTCGAGCGAACACAACGAGTGATTGTCTCACATATCAAGCCCTGCCATAAGTCATACCCAGAACTCATAACCAGAACTCATTCCACAGCCCATACCATACCATACATACACTCATGTGTTTCCCAAACCGCTATTTCATGATCTCTTGTGTGGATACTATGGTTACGCAATTTGCCATTAGACTCAACATTGTGTGCCATCATTTGGGACAGACATCACATCAACTCTCATATCGATTCATCGTTTAGATATGTTATGCAATAGTGTGTAGAAGAAGAAGAGATAGTGAGAGATATAGTCATATAAAGAGAAGTTCTTCGTGTCATAAGTAGCTAATGGTTATATTGAGTGCGAAATGTGTGTTGCAGTGGATGTGATGGATGTAGTGATGGAGTGGCTGTAGTGGTCGGTCGGGTTGACACAGCTCTGGAAGTTGGGCTTCAAGGAAGTGCTAGCGTTTAGTTATGAAATAACTGTTTGGGTATATTTCTGGTACCTATCGAGTGGTGAGTATTCTCTCTCTCTCTCTCTCTCTCTCTCTCTTCTCTTTGCCTCATTTGCCAACCAGTGAGACACACATATTCAATATCTCTTCTTCTTCTACACACTATTGCATAAGATATCTAAACGATGAATCGATATGAGAGTTGATGTGATGTCTGTCCCAAATGAGGCATACATTGTATACCAGTTTAACTAGTATTGAAACCCGACTTAAGAAAAATTTATAGCAATAAAAATGACGTTTCCATACAATCTATAGATTTTTGTTGGATTTAGTTTATAGTTCACTATTTTTTGCATAGTTTGCACTGTTTTGCACTCAATTACAATTTGGTTCAAATAGTTTGTCCACAAACACCAAATTGAAACCTTCAGCTCACGAGGAGGTGATGCCGTGTTTTCTTGTTTTGTTTGATCTGTAATTTTGCAAACAGTGTTACAAACAATTGAATGCTTTAAATGCTTTTCATATTATGAAAATTGTATGCAATTTTCGGGCAAAGTTTTTCAATATTTCCACTACTATTTGAGTGCTTTTAAATGTCAAACTATGCTATGATTACTGTATTGTGAAAATAGTTTCTCTCTTCGCTTCAATTGCACACAAAATCATCTGAAAGTTAAGGTTATTGGCCATCAATTGATGGAAAAGGGCGTTAGAGTGGCGGCAGTGGAGGCAGTGGTGGTTGTAGTGGAGGTTGTAGTGGATGTGATGGTTGTGGTGCTCACTAGTGCTCCTCTCAATCACATTTCTCAATGAAATACCAAAATCTCTATTATATTATATACTCTGAGCTATTGCTGGCAAATGAGGCAAAGAGAAGAGAGAGAAGAGAGAGGACCAGAGAGTGAGCCAAACAGAGTGCCCGAGACTTAACATTGAGAGCTTTAGTTGCGCTCAAATAACTCAAACCAATTTCAAGTCTCCTTTGGGTTCTCCTCTCAAAACCAAACATTAACTCAAAACTCAAACTAACTTTTAATAACATTGTATACAATGTATTGTTTTCTTTAAAACAACTCATTTTACCACTTCTTCCACTTCTAATGCCAAACCTATCGCTCATTAAAATCTTTATTATTTAAACGTTTTCTTCTTTTTTTATTCTTCCTCTTCTGTATGAAGAAAGAGACGGAAACTGTTCACAAATATAATACTTAACTGATTGTAAGCAATGGTGTGAATCAATTGGAACCATTGAGACCAACAAAAGCCATCATCGATACAACCGGTGCTCCTGTGGTATCAATTGTCATACAAAACAATTGTATCGGACATACAGTGCATAATCTCATCGGTTGTTGAAGTTTGAAATGAGTTCACGTTTTCAGCAATAATTCAATTATTATTGCATTTGATTATTGAACTGATATTAAGTTTGAGTGAATTGTTGCGATGGCGGGCACGACCGCTGCCGGCACCAGTATATTGCCCAACACCCTTGGTGAATTCATCGCCAACAACTATAATCACGTCACTGTCGTTCAGGTGGAGGAGACTTTGCCGAAGAATGGCTTCGACGATGACTTTGTCACTGTTTTACAAGTGGGCGAAGACATGAATCCAAAGATTGACGAAGAGATCGTAATCTATCGTTTGCCGGGCGAGCGATTGGGTAATGATTTTTGGTTTATTAAATTCATTTCGTTTAAAAATATTTATTTTTGTTGTTTTTTGTTAACAATTTTTAATTGTGTATTGAATTGAATGTAAAGGAATGGCCCTTAAGTTTGAGGGAGGGATGAATGCCAACGAAAAGATACAGAAAGTATTCATACAGAGTATAAACACGGATAGTCCGGCCTCTAAAGTGCGCGGACAGGAGTTGGGTCTTCTCAGAGAAGGCGATCAGATCATGAAAATCGATGGCAGATCCACGACAACCATGACTAGACTGGAGTGCATCGGATTGCTAAGGGATGCGCCCGTCTGTATCAAAATACGGGTCCGCAGATACAGTGCCTCCCATTCAGCCACGCATTCCTCGCCTAACGATAAACACAAAGCGCTTGAAGTGAATCCGAACAGCGCTTCCAATCAATTAGAAACGGCTAATAATTGTCAGACGAAAGATCAATGCAATGGTTGGCAGAAGAAGGTGCCGCCGCCTGTGCCGCCCCGTATGGCCACTACTATACTATCATCGAAGAGAAAAGGCGTGAATAATTGTCAGACACGTTGTGATAGCGATTGCGATGGAGTGGAAAAGCCTCCGCGAAAGAAGACATCACAACCGCCTCCACTGCCGCCCCGACGGCCAAAAGTACCGCCGCCTAAACCGCCAAACCCTAAACACTCGGAACAGAGCCAACAAAATAATGTGCAATCAATTGAAAGCGAGACCGATATCATTGACATGGAATCGGATGCCAATAAACCCGATGCCATCGACCACTCGCTCGACCACTCAGTCGATGATGTGATGCAAACGAAATCAGGACACAAACAAAAAGAGGAGAATCAGAAAAAAATCAATCACTCGTCTCTTCCCTCAGAACCAGACGTTTATTTAGATTTATTGGCCGATGAAGAGAGAGAGGACCGACTGGTATTCAAATCATTACTTGTTTATCATATTTTATTTCTTATGATTTTAACCCAAATTTCTATTTTATTTCAAATGAAAAATAGATGATTGAATCGGAATCAGACGACACCGGTTCCAGTGTCTCGACAATCATTGAGCGCTTCTCCAGAACAAGTACTGCGAATTCCAGTTTCTCGGATCACATCAGCCGTAAGACTCCCACCATTGATATCGTCGGACGAGTGTTGAGTCCTTTCGAGAA